ATTGATGCATATCGGGTTGCCATTCATTCATATTAAAACAATACAATCATATACACTTAGTAAATAAATAGTTTTAACTATAAATTTGAGTACAGTATTTCATTGGCTTATGGTCGACTGAGTTAATAATAATACTTTACAGGATATCTCGCTTACTAACCAAACAGAAGGCAATAGTTGATTACATTTCAATTTGATTTCAACGTTTATCAATTGTTTACACAACTGAACAAATTTCAATGTTAATTATATTTATGAAATACATCAAGTTCAAAGTAAACTGAAATTATGCTACCAGTTCAATGGAAACCTACTTTAAGTAATAGTGAAATCTAATTCTTAATGTTTCATAATATATTTCTTTCGTTTAACGACTTAAAGCTTTTACTCATAACGGCATCCATTCGCCTAAGCCCTCGACATAATTGCGAATATACTTAATGTTTTTTATTTGGAATATGCCACTTACTAGTTTGTTTAAGTACGAATTATGCTTACTTCATCTAATTTTCTTTATACTTTCCATGTATCATATGCTTTCGCATAATTTTATTTCTCGCTAATTTATCTATAGATTCAGTAATCAGTGATCTCTAAATAGTTCGGTTAATCATATTTGAATAATTCTATTAAGTCATTGATTTCCCCTACATATCTTACATTCAGTTGAATATATATTTTGTAAATAATTCATTTGTTCACAAAATGTTATATAACACAGTATAGTAATAATTTAAAATTAGTTGTATCATTACAACTATTAGATCTAGACTAAAATGAAACTTTAACCAAACGAACTTACTCTTGAGGTTAATCAATTTTCTGAAATTTCATTTGATCATATTTCATTGGATCAGATGTCATGGTAGTTTTTACAACTGAGAAATAAGCAAGCTTTAAGAGGTTGAAAAATTCAAAACTTCTAACATCTTTGGTTAACAAATTTCTCACCAAAATCTCTTCAACATTCTGAAATTTATTTGTTGATTAAAATATAAAACTTTGAAGGAATAAATCATTCAGAAGAATTCCTTCAGTGTATTGATCATTTTAGGAGTTGTTGTACAATTTACAAACACTTAAACGTCAAAAACTTCTTTTATTAAAGATTGTATTTAATAACATCTCTTAGTTCATTAAATGTTTCCCCCCCCTTAGGTGTTAATATACACTTAATGATCAAATCAGTATTAAGAACTAGAAACAATTATAACTAAATAAACAGTAGTAGGTTTTTTTTTTCAATAAGTAGTAGTGATAACAAAATGAAAACACGTTTGTTTCTATAAGATATTCGATAAGTAATTGGTGAAAACAATTCATTTTACATTTAAAAATAAAAACACAACGTATTATTCATTTCATTTCATTTTATTTCCTTCGTTACACAGGATCAAATTGAGATGATATTTTGATCAATATTTTTACTTTATTCAATGGAAACATTCTTTCAATAAATACGTATCATAATAAAATATAAAAAATAACGAAATGAAATTGTTTAACATTTAATAATAAATATCTTTATATTAAAAGAGAAAGAATAGTAAATAAGTCATTTTTCTTTTTGTTTAGAAAGAATGAAGAAAATGATTGTGATGGAATGTTAAATAGTCTATATTTTATATATGTATATACTATACCCTTTATGGTTAATTATTGATGTTTATTATAAGTTTTGTAATGGATCTAGTCTCAAATATTAATTGACAGTGATAATATTAAGTTATAAGTTTGTAAATTTCATTGTTGACTTCATTAGGGCAATCGATATGTAAAACAAAATTTCTTTACTCATAATGTCAATGCATTGTTTTGAGAGCTAATAGACAATGATGTTGCTAATAAAGTGATTTAATGTGATAAATTTTATTTACAGTCAAACTTAAAATCATATTGATATATTACATAGTTGGTTCTCTTCCTATAATTAAGGTAAAATAAAAATTTAAGCCCTTATGGTATAATCTTAATTGATAATATGTAAGATAATTAAATGATCATTCTAATAACTTATAAGGACAGAAGGTGATTTGGTCAAAATTAAAATGAATACTCAATAAAAAGTAGCGAATCGTTTGTATGTATGCCACGGGAATATAGATGAAATAATACCCTTATTAATCGATGGCTTAAAGCACATCAAAGAAACAGAAATAGACCAGTTTGAGACAAAGATGAAAGGGGAAACAGATAGCTGTAGAGGAAGAAAAGTATGAAGAGAAAAAACTATGAGGCATTAAGACCATGGTAGAATAAGAGATTGTATCGATCTCTTTTGGATACAATTCTGGTTTTCCCAGATGTATGGTATTACTACGGCAATGTTAAGAACGTGCAATATAACAGCTTTTGGCAGATGAATGAATGCAGAATCTGTCTGGCTTGAGTGACATGTTTTCACAAAGTATTCGATTACTAAGCTTCTATGATCCTCCTGATTAAGTTTCATCTCGATTTCAACATTTTATCTTATCATGTTGAGCCATCCTTTCCCAATGATAATTTCCCAGACTATTTTTATGATGAATATTTAGGCCCTTAACAATAAATCTATTATAAGTTTCCCTGATTAACATTTTTTGATACCGTTGTTCATTCTACCTGATTGTTACTATGTTTAACAGAAGTTTATTATCATCCTGAAAAATAAGTATATATGTTTGAGATTGTATAGCTTTGAAAATGAATTCCCGAAAAGAAAACTCTTCACTGAATCAATATTTCCTGTTTAAATATAGCACGCAACTGGAAGATCGTTGGTAGTTTTGTAACCTTCAGTTTTGACCGATAACTTCAACACTTAAAAATACATCCAGGCAGTCAAACAAAGATTTTTATTGTTGTGGTGAATTCGGTTAATATTTTACAGATTGGCTTTGTGAATAAGTTAACAAGTGACTAAAGTCAATCATTTCAATGCTTCATTCAACCATTTCGCCTATCATCACAACTACCTAAACATGTAAATGTGTCATTTTTTTCTTCAGAAATTAATTATAGTCTAACTATTTTTATTACATTAAAATATTTTTACTTGACTGTCTTTTTTTACTGCTTCGCTAATTTATATTTCTTTCGGAATTGTATCTCAAATACCTAATCTTTCCTATTATTAATAATACTCTTACTACCTCTACTAATTTAGAATTATCCCTGACAATTTCATCTAGCAATATTAATGGGGTATGACAACTTGGACCGATGTACACATTTACCAGGTTCTACGCTGGGTCTATCTGACTGACTGAATTATGCCATTATGATAGTTTTTTATAAGTAAAACGAGCTTTCATGTTGTAGTTAGATATATAGAGTATTAAACTGGATAAAAAATGAAAACAGTAGTTACGGAAGTGATAGAGCTTATCTACATTATAATATGTCTCTCAAATTAATATAGAATATTTGTAGATCAGGTAAATACTTTTACTTTCGTTGGGTTACCTGAGTTATGCAATTTATTAGTGAAGTATTCATTATTTTCTTGAACATCATCTACATTTGTTATTCAGAAGAATAATAAACTCTTCACAATCAAACTGGTTAGAGAAGGTAAGTCAATACATAACCCCCTCTTACCTAAAGAATGTTTTGTTGGGACAGGAGTTAAAACATTGATGTTTACATTTACTGGAGTAATATATCTAAACAGAAACTACATGAAATTATAATAATTTATAATATTTCGGGTTTACTAGTATTGTACTATCGCGTTAACGTTTGGGATAGAGATTACTTAGAACTAGATATCATGTGGAGGTTGATCAGAAACAAGACAACATAACGATTCTCCAATTGTTAAAAAATTTATTTACAAAACTTCATAACCATAGGTTATACAGAAAAAGTGTTAAGTGAGGATAGCCAGTCATTGAGTGGCCCTATATCTCACCTTATTTGGATAAGATGAATGATTGCTATGAAGATATTCATGCCACCAAGCCTCGTATAATTTCATAAACTTAAATCGCGTCATTTAATAACGGAACAAGTCAAGTACGAGGATGAAGTTTGGATGAGTATATTTCGCACTCATTGATCTGAACTGATCATCAGTGAAACGAAGTGGAGAGGAGAGAGCCATGCGAAACGAAATGACACGCAGTGGAAAAGGCAAGTGAGACAACTGCAATGCGCATCATTTCATTTCGCCTCCTTCGTTGCACTTCCCTGATTGTCCGTTCAAATCAACGATTGCATGAAGTATGAATATTCAAAATCCATTATCGTGTTTGACTTATTTTAATTCCGTTATTCACTAACGCGAGTTAAGTTTATTATAGACGAGGGTAGCCAGGTTGTATATTTTAATAGTATTCAAGAAACGATCTATCTGGAGTCAGATTTATGGTCACTAAACTTTCCAGTGAATCAATTTATTTGTTCTTAAGAAGTATTCATGAAACAGTTGTCTTCAGGTAATTTTACGCAGACCTACTGATAAATTTTCTTTTGATTCGGTATGATTATAGATTGTCCCATTGAAAAATAACAATCAGATAAAGATGAATGGATTGTTCAATATTGTAGCAAAAATGTTTCCATTGTATATTGGTTGAGATTTATCAATTATTCTATATTGTCGTTTTGTATTTTAATTGTAAAACCATATAATTTGTAAATAAGAACATCAAACATCACTGATAATCATTTATTTAACCTTCTGGTGTTTTAATTACAGATTTAGAAGAGTAAACATCTCAACATGAAAATAAATATCATAAAAGAACTGAAACAGTAGAAAGATTATTCTTAATATATTCAAGAAAATAACACAAATCAATCTATTTTTTTTTATTGTTCAGTTGAGAAAAAAAAAGTTAGTCAACAATCATAATAAATTATGTACACCTTATAAACTAATTAAAAAAAATAACTAAATAATCATCGAAAATCATTATTGTACCAAGTTATATGAATGAAAGAGAAAAAAACTCGATAGTATTTATTTTAAATAATAATAATTATTATAATTATAATTACAATGTTAATGATAATATGGACTATTCAGATAAACAGTGAAAGTAAACAAAATAATGAAATCAAAACAAGAAAAACACAAAAACTCATATTAACATTTGAATTATCTTCTAATAATTTTTTTTTCTTTATAACAAAAAACCCCCCATCGTCTAGCGAGAATTTCAATAAATATAAACTCTGATGAACAAGCTTATATATATATATATATATAGTAAAACAATGGATAAACAATAATATGAAGTCAATGGTCTCAATATCAATAATAATAATAATAATTAATTTGGAGCTAATGGTTTATATTGGCATAGATTGTCGTTGTTATTAAAAAAAGATATCAGTTTTCATTGGATTTTATACATTAATTAACAAAATAACTATTAGTTTTATTTGGCTGTTTATTGTTTATTATAAAATAATACAGAATGTTAGTATTGATTGTATTCTTGTAAATCTGAACAGAAAATATATATATATATATATATATATATATATATATATATATGTGTCGGTCAAATATAAAATAAATGTAATAACTAAACAAAGAAACAGAGCATGAAAGTCTTTGAAACAAAATGAATAATGAAAGAAATCTAGCAAGCTATTGTAGATACATGGTATATTCATGGTCATCAATATTTATAATAAATAATATAATAAATTGTCAATTTCTTTTGTTTTATGTTGGAACATCTAACTAATGGTTATGTATGTGTACACTTTAAATTGACTAAAAAAAAGGATACAATGAAATTTTTTTCTTCTTCTTTAAACTATTTTATGCTCACTTTCTGGACGATGTGAAAATTCATAATCTAAGTGTACAAAAGCTCGTTCAACTGTTTCTAATTTCTCCAATTTCTTTTGTAACCCTTCACCAATATCATGAGCTTCTTTAAGACACATTTCTTTAGGTAACACAATGTCAACCTAATGAATAAGAAATGAAAAGTAACAGGGCAACTGATGAGTCGATAAGTAATTTGAAAGAAAAATGAGTGATAAATACATATATATATATATATATATATATATATATATATATATATTCAGAAAATCTGACTAACAATACAGTGAGCCAACAATTAAAACAAGACGTAGATTTTGAAAACACTGAGAAAGATAACAGAAAAATATGTAAAAACTGAACTGAAAGAGATTTCAACGGAAATCTAAGGACAAAACGCAGAAAAAAATCCATGTTTTGTTGTAAACAAATAATTTTTATCTTTGGTTTCTGAATTCCTTTCATATGACCGACTTTTTGACATAAAGTAATTATGATGGACTTAAAGTCATTCTTTGTCATTAACAAGCAATGTTTATTTAAACGGTGTAGTATTTTCAATAGCCTCATGTGATCCTACATATTTGCTTAAAGTAGTTTCTATTTACGTATAATTCTGATTCTTAATTTAATAGATATACAATTATTCATCCTGTGATAAGAAAAGTATTTATAACGAGTACACAAACTACCTACAGCTACTCAGTACTTAAATATCGAATATGATATCACAACAGGAATACAAAGACATTTGAAAATAACAAAAAACGAAAAGAAAACTCAGTCATAAACAAAGTAAACAGGATGAACTGATCGATAAGCATAATGAATAGTAATTTTTGGGATCCATTGATGGACCAATACTAAACGTATGTTTTTTATCGTATAATTGTTAAATAACTAAACTATTGATATTCATGTCCCTCTTATTATAAGCTTTATTTTGACCTATGAACTATTATTATACGACCTACCAATCTTGAATTATGCTCTGTCTATTAATCATTACCTCCCACATTCACAGCCACAGCTGGCTAATTCGTGTAAAAATGTTGTTTCATATTTTATTGGTACGTTGTAGTTTGTTTGATTGGTATATAAACTCATTATGTTTGAAATAAAATGATTCATATCACAGAGGTTGAGATTGGGGTTCTGAACTTAACTGGCTGGGCTAGTTGGGAAGTAGGAGCAATCAGGGTTCTAGACTGCTCTACGGGTTTTACGCATCATTGGTCCGATCGATAATTCACTGCTCTCTAATTGGCGGTATCGTTATTTCATACAACAGCGGCGAACACAGGTCACATGTTATAACAGGAGTGAAACCAAAAAGTGTGAACTCAGTTAAATATCGATCGGACAAACTAATATATTTCTGATTAATGTTACCAAATAAAGTGAATTAAATTATTTCTGCCATCGACAGTAGTGTACTAAAAGGTAAACGTGAATGAAAAAAAATTAAAAGAAAAAGTTACTTACTTCAACCAAGAAGTTTTCACCAAAATGAAATGCCCTAATGGTATCCAATTGTTCAATCAACGGATGATAATTAAGACAAACGAATGCGATCTTTTGAATAAACCTTGGATTAGCTGTATGACCAGCTAGATTACGTATCTGTTCTAAAAAAAGATTACGATTCAGAAGTCATTTTATGACTGAAAAATTACATTCATTTAATAATGTAGAATTTAGTACGTATATTACATAACAACGTTTGTGAATTATGCCTGGCCTCCTTGCAAATTTGATAAACGAAAGTTGTAAATGAAGATAACAGAATACAAATTATTACATCAGAAATCAACAAATTCTGCAAACACCTTTAAATTTTCATTTTACCACACAATCAGAAATTACTATCTGATTGACTTTAGAAAAAAATTACTGACCCGATAAACAATTATAAAAGATGGAGTTATACTGGTACTATGACCAGTCTGCACTGAATGGGCCAATACTGAGTTGTTCATTTTTTCCACTAGACCTTTGTTTAGCCACGCTGGGACTTCCAAAGAATCTTGGCATTCATATTAAGACGTCTTAATTCTTCCTTCAACTTCCAGGGCACAGTTTAAATTGTCTATTCTAGTTGTCGTTTTCTTGGAAGATTTTTTCCTACGGGATGGGGTTCCCGACACCATACTCAACCCTCCTCCTTAACCCGGGCTTGGGACCGACAGTAAATCGGGAAGAGTTATCTGACCCAAATTTATTCTGATAACGAATATCATAATCTGACTTGACGAATAAGCTTATTCAGGTCATCACTTCACGATAGTCATCTCAATATTGGATTTGTTATTGTAAACAATCCTAAGTCCATATGCTATGATTTAAACAATTTACTTTGTCTTAAACCTGGCCACTCATTTAAATATCGATTTGGATGTAGAACTGTACAACTTGAAGAGAACCTAATAACAAATATATATTCGTGATATCCCAATAAGAAAATTATATTTCCGATGATTCGTGACTTAATGTGAGCCACTTCTTCAGGAGTAAATAAACAACGCAGAATAAATTAATAATAAAATAATACACTAGAAATACAATTTTCTACTCATTGGGATATCAGAAAAATGTATGCCTGTTTCACTAACTTTCTACTCAATGATCTTTTGATTTAAAAACATCAAGTCTCATTTTGGCATTGACACCTACAAACTGAATAATAACTGAAGAGAATATTCTTCGTTCATACATTAGTGATATAATATGATGGAGATTTTTAAACATTATTATCTATCGAAATAGCTAGGATGAACTGTAGTTTTATACACTAAGAAGTTGAATATGTATTCTTCTACCAATAAGATTTAAAGAACTTCAAAACTTATAAAATGCGTCAGTGTATTTCCCAAACATAATCTGTACAATTTCCAGTTCAGATGAGAAAATTATATCAAATAATAAAACCTTAATCATATTATTAAATTGTTATTCTGGAACTAAATAATCAAACTAATAACATACACCATTTAGGTATTTGAGCTAGAATATAATAGACATTCATGGTTTCACAAACCAATAATAGTGAAGATCTGTTAATGCCAATAAAAATACATGATAATGATAGAGTGGTTGAATTAGTAATGACTTAGCATAGATTTACCATTAGTGTGATTTAAGGAAAACATGTAAGGCGTTCATATTGATAAATAATTTTTTTCCGTAATTAGTAGCCACGATAAACCCTTGTCAAGCAACAATAACAAACATTGTGGAGTGAAGTGAATTCATACGCATCGATTTGGAATATTTCGGTAAATGTAATTTTGTGTGTAATATATATAAAGTAATTTAGTTCACAAGTGAGAAAATAATCGTAAATACTTTCTATATTCCTACAAGTTCAAAATACTGAACAAATGATAATGAACGGATTGATTGAAAGGAAGACCAAGATGTAATTGAGTATAACAGATATATACAAGACCGTTATGATGGTACAAGACAAAACAATGAAAGCTTTAGGAATTACCAAAATAATCATAATGGAGTGATCCCACTAATGGTGATAATAATACTAACAATAACAATCATAATTGACGAGAGTATGAAAAAAACGAAAGTGTTTCAATATTTATGTCTTCATAAGAGGTCAAACAACCTATTGAATAGTGTTATAATCATAAGCCTAGTTATAATAACCATAAATTAGAAATGAAAATTTCACCAAAGTGAACAATGAAAGTATTATTGTGATTAAATAGGGGTGAAAAAGGCTGTACAGTATCATCACAACAGTTTTGCACATATCTGCTATACTCAATTAATTACATCTTGGTCTCCCTTTCAATCAATCCGTTCATTATCATCTGTTCAATATTTTGAACTTGTAGGAATATAGAGAGTATTTACGAATATTTTCTCACTAGTGAACTAAATTACTTTATATATATTACACACAAAATTACATTTACCGAAATATTTTGTTTATTTATCTAAATCAATGCGTGTGTTGAAGATGAAATGAATTCACTTCGTGCCACAATGTTTGTTATTCTCGCTTTACAAAAATTAAGTTTATTCTATTCAAAACAGTTAGTCACTTTGATAAATTTCGATAATGCGATCAGAAGACTAAGACTATCGGAATTACGTGGTATATTTCCGCAATACATTTCGAACAATCTGATCATACATATACTTGTTAGGGCATTTTTATATGAAAAGCAAGCGGTCAACTAGATGGATTAAAGGGAGGCAGTAACAAAGAATAATAAAGTACACAAAAACAATGTACTAACCACTTATGAAATCTAAAAAGCCACTTGACGTTATGTTACCACTTAGAGGTTACTCAAATAATCTCATGTTCAAACGGAGACCTAAGTTAACCGTCAACAAGACATTTTATGCAGCCCAACTTGACATTATTGAAAACACAATGTCTATGTTTCACCGAAAACCAAAACAGCACGTAAGTGATTGTGTCGCATCTCATTGTGTCTATCAATTAACATGTATGTGAGAAAACACGTACTTGGGGAGGAGCAATTGTGACCTGCAAGCAAGGGCGACAGAACACATACGCAAATGGCTGCAGAAAAAAATGAATTCCGATGGTCAAATAAGATCACGTGATAAACCGAATTCTTCCTCAATTGCGAGACATTTGGCTGAGACTGGTTATAAGGTTGATAACAAGTCAGACTTCGTAGTGTTGTACAAAAACCTTCAAGGGCGTATTCTAAGATTTATTGAAGCCTTGGCTATTCGGAAGCTGAATCCCCTTTATGTGTTCAAAAACAATTTGTTCTTACCCTTAACCTACCCTGATAATACTGGTTTATTATCCAGAGTGTTTTTGTGTACTTTACTTTTCTGCTATTCATTGTTTATAAAAATCGTTTACAAGACCCAGACATTATGAGATGATGAACAAGTTCAACCAAGTGAATAAAGCGTTTAACGTTACTCTAAGGAAGCAGATATATATATATTTATTTAAATTAAATTTATAATAGTGGAATATGTTGTCAAAATTTAGCTAAATAGTAAGTAATGTTTTGTCATTGAAAGTAATTCAAAGTATTTTGTCATATTGTTTTCACAAGAAAAAGTAGATTTCATCTAGTTAGAAATTTTAAACATCTTAGTATTTCAATCTATCTGAAGAATCAAAAAATAGCTACCTAATAATTTTATGTTTGTTTACAAGGATAAACAAACTTGGATTTAGAATATTTCGAGAGATTAAAACAGCTTGAAATCTTATATTTGAGAGGAGAAAAACGTAACGCCGATGCAAAGTTTGTTTAGACTGATAAATTTGCCCTCGGACCTAATCCATATGATCTTAGGATCTATAAAGCATATATCCTCAAAATATTTCATTTATACTTATTCACTTATTCATTACAACAAGTCGTTATAGAGACTCAACTTATCAGTCTTTATTTTCGATTCAAATGTAGTTTATTTAATCGTTTTATATCATTCGATAGAAATAATTTATTACTTCAATTTCAAATGATCATAAACCCGCATTTGAAAAATACTTCATTCATTTATAGGTGCTTCACGAAAAAGCGATTCTTGGCTAGCTGAAACGTAACTATACTCATATCCTTTTACAAATAAAGAACTTCTACGTTTTCTCTATAAGCATTTGAATTTTCCTGTAGTTGATATCGACTGAGATTAATTAGGTTTTCTGGGCAAAAGTAAATCCTGATAGGATCTCCTAAATATTTCCATTAGGTCAAAAGCAATTTTCGGAAATGCTTGATATTGGTCAGGGGTAGAATGCATAACATGTGTTTTGTCCTGTTTGAGATTCATGAATTGAATGCAGCTGTATCCCAGTGTACGTGTTGACACACAGACTCGAACCCGATGCCTTTCTCTTTGAACGCACAGTGTCACAAGTCAATGGGTAAATGGAATCAGTAACTAAGTGGACAAGGTGTCGAGCGTTTTAGTCATAAGGCATGAACATCAAGATTGGTGTGCATATGTATCCAACTGATGAATTCAAAATAAGACGAGTCTGTCCTCCTGGATCTTATTGCTAGGCACAACGAAACTCTATTAATAGTTTTATATATGAATGGAAAATATTATCTTGTGAGAATCGTCAACTTACCAGCACCAAGTTGATACCAAGAATACAAAATATAAGAACCAATAAGTATAGCTCCAACGGGATCTAAATACTTAAGATTTTCGTATTGTTCTATAAATAGGAAAAAGAGAATAAATCGAGTCAGTTCATATATATATAACTGTACAGTGAAACATTGATCTTTGTAGCATTTTTAATGAATAGATAACATTGTAAAAACAATCGATTACTTTGACCAAATGAATTCATAATGAACAACGAGTTGTTGAAACAATTACAACATTGTAAAATGGAAATGCACATTCATATCAGATGGATTAATACACTAAGTACATGCATGATCAGTGTACATTAAAAATAAAACTCTGCTCACATGCTAATTTCAATGAAATTAATTTATTTTTAAATTTAAATGAAAAACTGAACAGATAAAAAATGTACAAACTTTTCATTCCATTATCTATTGACGTATTCCCGGTGACTGAAGCTCATAATCTAAAATGTCACTTAGAATTTCCTTTTGAGTCCTTTAAATATTGTTTGCCAATATCTGACATCAACAATTCCGGTTGATCTATCTTTAGATTGTTATGAAACATTTCGATTGGATAAAAGAATGATCTTTTTCCATAAAAATACTTTCGTCAGATTTATACAATTCAATGACATAAAATCTGAGTTACGTCGCAACGGTAATACAATAAATTACATTTTATATCCCTACGATATTTCATTTACTAGTTCTGATTAAAGATTTTTGAAAATACGCCAAGCAAACTCACTGTGTCCCACATTGTCTTATTCAAGACTTTTATGAATTCCAGTTTAAATAAAAGCAAAAGCGGTGAGAGATTTAAAAATACATGTGATCTACTCAAAAAGAACGTTTTAAAGTAGCATATGAAAGTTTATATAACAATTTTCCATGTTTCAACGTTTGTTTCACAAATTTAATTTCTGTGTAAAAATCAATATTTTTGAGTCAACTTTAATATTTAAATACATTTTGAAGGCCAGTGATTATTTGCATGACAATGAAATAATTTCCAGCAGAAAAATAAAACTCAAGTGAAACAAAATCGAACGATTATTTAAATTTATTCAAATTTAAAGCAATTAGCTCCTTTGATAAATTTCGATAGTACAGTAATCTTCGCCTTCATTCTACATTATCTAAATTTATTCACTTATGTTATACATTTTTATTAGTAATTTCCAATGATTTTGTACTCATGAAAAATGTGAAAACCCCTTTAAACTGTTCTTTATTGAGAACAAGGAATATAAATCATGTTCACTGTATAAAATAATTAAGTGTTAAACAAGTAGAACAAGGAAACAATGAATTTATTTAGTGATCCGTTGGTTCATTAAGTAAATTATATGATTAATAAATAGCTTGTGTCTGTCTACAGAATATTCTGTTTCATAAATCTTCACTGTTGAAATAACTTGTAGTCATTGGCAACCATGTTGTTCAGTATTGAAATAAATGTAACAAAGTAAAAAGAAACGTGAATAGAAGAGAAAATCAGGAAAAAGCGTATCATACATTTCGTAGAGCTTTTCATGGTGACTTGGTTGTATCACATGTTAACATTCAAACTAGCACAACCAGTTTGCTTTTATTAACCTACTTACAACTATAAATTATTAGAAATAGTAGGTCGGACTATTTTAAATGTTGCTTTTGTTTTAACTATTTTCATTCAATCAAATCAACACATTTAACTTACAATGATGTAATTAAATGAGAAATTTCTTTTATAAAAACGAACAATGGTAAATTATGATCTAAATTATATGGATTTTATGGTTCCCTATCTGATTAGCTATTATTATTTGTTCACTTTCTATATAAACTGATTACCTAAAATGAATCAATGCTACTCGCATGTAGTAGTCTAGTGAATTGAATTTACACATTCTTTTTATCCAAGCATCTTATAACATTGCTTTATATTACGTAACAAATATTCGGTTTCAGTTACATAAGATCATATTAATTATTATATTATTGACAAAAGAATTCAGATTTCAATATCAATAGAAGCTTAGTTGTAATTCAAATATCAGTAAAACAAGAATCCCTCAATTCATACAAATTTCTACTGTAACATAAACTCATAAGCTTTATTAGACATATGTATTATATAAATGACAGAAAAGGTGAGAAATCGTCATTAAAGGTAAATACTTTTGTTTTTAACAAATTCATGATGACTGTTACAGGCAGTTTATACATCTTTATCAGAAATATATTAAGTATATTTCAACACAGAATATATATTAATCATATAAAGTATCAAAGAAACAGATAACTTGATAAGATTCATAAAAAAATGGATGATTTCAATGAAAGTGAAAACATTCACAAATCTACTATATAAACGAGTATAATTGAAAACATGGACAAATTCAAAGCAGTAATAGTTTGAATTAAATGAAAATATTTCTTCATGGTCATCAGTGGTTTTATTTCTGGTTATCCATAATGATGAAGTTCGAGTGAACAAGTTATACAATATTGACACTGTGATAGAATTGTTTCAAGATAATCTATTTGACTAATTTTAAAAAAATTCCTAAATTTGCACTGTGTACTTATAAAAATGTAATTGTCAATATCTGAAAACAGATTTTCATTTTGATAATGAGGTGTAAGTGATTCAGTATTACACATGTGTAGCGTGGCGTCTAGTCGCGGTTGACTATGATCATCACTACAGAAAGACTATGTGCCAGTTAACGGATAAGATTCCCCGTAAGCCAAATATCAGAAGGCAGTTGATGGCTGTAGTCGAGATGTATTCGTTGGCGATCTCGTGGTATCGAAAGAATACCGAGATCGTGCCAAAGGAGTACACGTGTGGTTACTGAGCGTAACCGAATTCGTGCAAGGTCACGATCAAAGGAAGGAACGATGTCTTTAGTACAGGTAAACAAACATGTACAGTAAAACAATCACTGGTACAATTGGTTATAATAATGATTGTTTCCATTAAACCAATGTAACTCAACATGTTCAGTAACATTGTTTTTCTGTGTCTAATCAACTCACCTAAATCCTACTTACAGTGTTCTTACTAATCAATAGGAAATCAGAGGTCACACCTGAGATTTTTTATTGATGATAGTTTTTAGGGAACAAATCTTAAATATTTCCACTCGTATAGTATTAATAAAACAGCGCACATATATCCAGATCATTTCAATTTCATAATATTCCATTTCATATAAGGTATAAAATTTATGGACATTTTGTTAATGAATACATTCAGCATTATAATATACCATTAGAAATAATACGTGAATAAGGACGACCATAGTGATGATAATACTTCACAAATAAAGTCAATAGCATGTCAAAAGAAACTATTTGAATGAAAAAGTAATTTATAAAAATAGATGAATTGGTAATACAGAAAGTAACAACAATAATAATTTATTATTATTGTTGTTGGTAGCACCACAAATATAAACAGATCTACGGCAAATATCATAACGGTAAAACTGGATGTCGTGCGTAAATGAGCAAGTGAAAATTAGAACATGACAATGCAGTGAAGATATGACGATGAAAATAGTGATATCGATTGATGATATATATATATATATATATATATATATATATATATATATATAAGCTTGGCAAAACAAGCCCCAGCATCAATATTAAAACCCACTTTGTCGTAGTAAAGGAGCTGTAATGAATGTTGTCCATTTATTTTACAGTGATTAGAACTGAGTAAATAGAAACCCAGAATTACTATTCCTTAATAATTAACGAAATCACTGAACATAAAATTCACATGAAACTCGCAGTAATCATCAATTGGTCCGAACAGACAATCGTTGCTAGATATTATAAAAAATTTCCTTGAATAAACTGACAAAAAATTATCAGTGATTTTGACTTTTGTGATGGATTTGCGAATGTCGAGTGAGAAGTTTATAAATGATGAAATCTCAAAACTTGGTCTTAGTGACTGTTTACATTTTCATAGTTTTCATTGGTTTTTCAGCTAATGTTATTTAGTGATAGGAGCAATCTTTAAGTTGATAGATTTCTCATACACATTTGAGCGAAACAATTTATGTGATCCAAGTTCACAAGCAAAAGTATAAAAGTTCTATAATACCTTGCCTGGCAAATATACTCTGTGACGAACAGATTGTTAGAGTTAACCTAGTCAATAATAACCTGCATTCTTAACATGTCTCTAATTTGAAAAGTTGTACAGTTTTTCTTTTTCTCCTTCTTTTGACTATTTTTTCTGTTTCTTTTTTGTATAAGAAACTTGTTGAAATACCCTGTGCCGAGAATTCCACATTGTACCAAAATATAATATTGAATAAAGCCATTAATTATTAGTAATAATAATTATTATAGTTTGTTTCACCAAAATCTACATAAAAAGATATTGATCAATGAAGCTCAAAATAACTATCTACAGTGCATGCGAGATCAATGGGTTGAAGCACGGTATTATACTCAATCGATTGATTAGAATAGCCATACTACCTAATTTGCTTCATTTCGCAAACCTGGATGATATCTACTTTCCTCTCGAAAAATAATTAAGACTCATGATAAAAAACGTGGACTAGATATATACAACTTATATTTGAACACAAAATTCTTAGGACATGTCTAGGCAAAACAACAAGACGTAGTTAGGAATGATAGAGAAAACATACGAGTAAAAAAACTTTGTACAACAATACCAGTCAGTCTGCCAGTAACAACGTAGAACTTCGTACGTACGTACATCAGTTCGAGTTGCCACACCACGTTAGCACACAGATGTAGTGGTCGATTCAAATCCCGTAGTGATAGAGGCGGTAAGAGTATAAGCAGTAATCGGGAAGATTAGGGTTTGGAGATGTTATTTAAAGAGTATAATACAGTGAAATAAATTTGGAAAGAGAAAAAAAGAGACAAGGAGGAATAAGGAGATCAAAATTTGGGAGAAGACAAAGAGTGTATGCACCTGCGCCATTGCAAACGATTTTGAGCCATGTCATTCAGGGTCTCTAACCATCGGTTGCTATCATCTCGCGGTCCCCAACCAGGTAGTCTACACCTACCAACATGACTCACTTCACTTGTCAGTGACTTCATGGACTTGTGCCATGTTTTGGTCTGGCCGCCCCTAGCTTTCTTCCAACCTACTCCTACACCACAAAACATCACACGTCGAGGCAGTCGGTCGTTGGGCATACGTAACACGTTTCCCAGCCATCTCAACTGATGAAGTTTCACTACGTCATCAATTGATTTGCCGTCCTTACCTAGTACCTGTTTCCTAACAACTGCATTACTTACTCGATGGTCCCACGATATACGAGCAATATTTCGAAGACACCTATAGTCAAATACTAGTAAGCTACGAATATCCTCTACTTTTACCGGCCATGTTTCACTGCCATAAAGTAGAATGAAACGAACTGCTGCACAGTAAACCCGTCCTTTGGTTGGTGGAGGGATATCTCGCGTACACCATAAATGACGCAAGTAGGCAAACGCTAGTCGAGTTTTCTGTATCTGTGCTGAGACTTCGTCACATGCCCGATTACAAAGGCTGATGAGACTTCCAAGATAAGTGAAGCAATCGACACGCTCAATTACTTCACTCCCTATCATTAGTTCGGGTGTCAATGCAACCCAATCCTGAAGCAACATTTTGCATTTCGAGGTGGAGAATCGCATCCCGAACATGCTTACATTGTTGCTTAGAGTGGTCAGAAGACTCTGCATTTTGTCAGCGTCTTCACCAAATAAAACTATGTCATCAGCATATTCTAAGTCAACAAGTGAACCTCCCGGTAGAAGTTCAACCCCTGGAAATCTAGACGAGGAAAGTATTATCTCTAAAAGTACGTCAATGACAAAGTTGAACAAGAATGGAGAGAGTGGAAAGCCCTGACGAACACCACTTGAGGTAATCAATTCTGATGACAGTTCGCCATAAGCTCTCACTCGACCAGTTGTGTTTGAGTAGAGAGCCTTTATAAGGTTAATGTACTTCTTTGGTACTCTTTTCAGTGACAAACACTGCCATAGAACCTTACGATCAACAGAGTCGAATGCCGCCTTAAGGTCAAGAAATACTACCATTGTGGGGCGTCTGAATGTGGGTCTGTGTTCTAGAACCTGACGTAGTGTGAATATCTGATCTATACAACCACGTCCAGGTCGAAAACCAGCCTGATTTTCTCTAATCTGTTCTTCATGAGCTTTGGTTATGCGTCGAAGTATTGTTGAAGCTAATATTTTAGACACTATATTTGTCAAACTGATTCTTCTGTGATTGTCACAAGAGGACATTTGTCCTTTCTTATAGACTGGCACAATCAGTGATTGAGACCAGTCAGATGAGATTACGTCCAGTTCCCAAATTCTACCTAAGACCTCAGTTAATCTCACTGCTAATACTGGACCACCATCCTTAAATCTCAAGAGTAAACCTGTCAGGGCCTGCTGCTCTCCCTCACTTCAGATTTCCTATAGCTTTTTCAACTTCTTAAAGAGTCGGAGGGCCTACATTAACTTGTCATTCAGGTTGACTGGAGATTGTGGGAAACCGAAGTGTGGCTGAAGGCCAGTTGAACTGATCCGTAAAGTGTTCTGCCCATCGATCCAATCTCCTGGATTGAGAATGTATGATATGTCCATCTTTCTCTGAGATTGTTTCGCTAACAGTCGGGTTCCTAATACCGGTTTCCTTAACAAGTCTGAACAATTGTCTGCTATTACCTATTGCCGCTGCCTTTTCCATCTCTCTTGCTTTCGCTACCCACCACGGTTCACGATCATTGCGTAGACTTCTTGTCAGCTTGCGCTTAAGCTGACTCCGCTCTTCATTATGTTCAGAGCCGGGTGGAATGAGTTTCCGAGCATCTATCAGTGCGATAGATGTTGCTGAGATCCAATGTTGCTCTCTAACCTTATGGTTTACCTTGCTGTTTCCACAGCTTTTCGGATATCATTCCATGCTGCTTCGTGGTAGGCATCACATACATGGCTGCCTAACTGTTTTCCTAGTTGTTCCTGAAATATACTCTTAGCTTGACTATCATTAAGTAGAACACTAAGAGGTTTACTTGCAGCGTCTTTCCTACGTCCAGTAAGACGCAGACAGATACGCGCTCGTACTAGAGCATGATCTGAATCTAAGCATGTGCTCCAGAATGAGTGACAGTCTTCTATCGAGCCCCTCCATCGGTGGCTGATAGCGATGTGATCTATTTGGGTTCGACGTTGGGACGAATTTGGGGGTCGCCATGTTAAAAGATGTTTTTCTTTATGCTTAAAGTTAGTACTTGCAGGGAACAGGCGGTTATCTGAGCATAGCTGCAACAGATGGTCGCCATTGTGTTCTTTGAGCCACGATGCTATAAATTCCACCTATATGTCTTTCCCGATCGCTTAGTTTACCTACTTGAGCATTAAAGTCACCGGCCATTATTACTACATCCGAGCGCCTAGCTTTTCGTAGAAGGTCGGAGAGCTTTCTGTAAAACTCATCTTTTACATCATCTGCGCTGTAGTCCGTGGGAGAATAGGCAGAGACGACGAAGAGGCAATGACAAGTGTCCCTATCTTTCCGGATCCTTACTGTTTCGTTCAGTCGGACAGCGCACAAACGACTGTCTACTGGGATCCCCTCTAAGAGAGCTAGTTCTGCCCTAGGACTCAATGCTATACCTACGCCGGCGAGGCCACGGGAAGCAGAATCTGGGCTTCCAGATACACGAAGTGTAAATCGAGTCGGTTCTTTATTTTGGCATGGTGAGGTCAAATGAATGACGCTACTCGGATCCTGTATGCGCGTTTCGGAGACGCAGCACACATCGATGGCGCGAGATTCTAAAGTTTTAGCTAAGGAAGCCTGCTGTCCTATTTGGCACAGTGTTCGGACGTTAAAAGCTCCTACGTGTAGTTTAGAGCGTGGTTTCAGGAGACCAGGAATAACGTTCCGCGTACACGAATCGTTTGTCCTAGCAGTGCGAGGTGATAAAGAGACGTGAGGAGGGTTAGTCATGGAGATAAGAGAGGTATTAGGAGGTGTAGGAAGGAGTTGAATGTGACCAACTTGGTCTCGTGTGCTGTTACGGGTATGAGGGCTGATATCACTTCCCGGCTGCCAACACCGCGGAAGGGTATTTCTTGAAGAACCTGAAAAGGAAGTTGAATTAATGTTGGTCTTAACGACCTGGGAGCGTGACTGAAGAGCCCAAGGGACAACTGCTTGAGGCCGGTCGCGTACAGCCTTTTCGTGGAAGGTTTTTAATGTGTTAGCTCCGTTCTTTAAAGGGCCTTACCACCGGAGACGGAAACCTGTGAGGTAAGGTGAGGTGTGACACTTTTAGGGTCGACCTTTTCTAACCCCACCCCTCCTTGTGGGAAGGCAGCATCGCTGTCATGCTGGTTGTCCGAGAGAAACACCTTACTGCTGTTACACACCTCTACAGTCAGCAGTACGACTTCACCCTCAGACCTTGAGTTGCTGCTTTCAGTCTTACCGTTCTCCAATCAACCTGCCTGGCATGGTAGAACCTACAGGGACATATCTTCCAGCCAATATAACTCGGTTAGGTCATCACGATAGGCAAGCCCGACCACCACGTCAAGGTAGCAGCTTCGGTCAGGGCAACAATACCAATAAAAAGTCATAGCTCATGGAACAAGCTACAGACTTTCGCCCTAGCATGCGATTCCTCATCAATGCGCACCCACTACTCCCTATCTGGAAATTGAACTCAGGACATTCGGCCTCCTAGACCACTGAGATGGCATCCAACGTAACACATGTTTATCCAATCTTCTGGAGTGTATATATCAATTTTATTTATAGAAATAATGGTGAGTTTGAAATGTTATTAGAAAATAGTGAAACAGTAGAAACTCTTACGTAAACGTCCAGCAAGACCACTAAATAAAATTGATGCAGCATTCGTAAGTATATCGTTACGTTGATCGGTTTTAAGCGCATCGATAGCCATTCCACCACCAAATTTAAAACAAATGATCCATAAGATTAGTTTAGTCACTATAAATGATAATAAATATGAAAATGGCCAGTAAATTTATCAATCAATCGGTTAATTAAATAATATAGCAAAGAGATAGACTAACTTTATCAATTATTTTTCCAGAGAAATACAACTCTAAATTTCAAGTAATATAAGCATGGAGTTGGGGATTACTGAACTTTTTATAAACTGGAGGATAGTATCAATCTTAAGGTAAGCAGTATGTAGTTAAAACGTCAGTAGGTGATTAACTGATTCGTCAGTGATTACTAGTTGTCTACAATAAAATGTAGGAGAAATCCAGCCAGTCTACTGCAATCATTTAAGAATTTGAGCGATATATACACCCGTTTCAAAAGGTCATGAACTTATGTATAACCATCGTTCTGTCCTATTTTCTTCCCTTAATATCTGTTCATACGCACACGTTGACCATCCATAATTACTTTTGATTCCTGATTATTTGAATGTTTTGTAAGCTATATATAAATATATATAGTTTTCTGAAGTATAAAAAGAGTATGTAACAGATCAAAGTAAAAATAGATTACTGATAAAAGATAATTGTTAACTTGAAGAATATAAAAAAATTGTAAACATTCGGTAGTATTGAGTGATAAATTGTTGATAAACATTAAATACAAAAGTAAAGTTGTGCAACGATGTAACGGCTAATGAAAAATGTTAACATAATAATATTTTATTGGAGAGAGATGACTATACATTTGATGAATATGAAAAACAGAATAATTACATTTGATAATAGCTCATTAGTAGTTCGGAATAGTCCCTTTCATAACCAACCAGAGTAATGCTCGAAAATGAAATTATAAAGAGCTCTCTTTGTGTAGGAAGTATACTAATATAATTTACTGATGAACTACAAATATGATTACACAGCTTCAGTCAGTAATATCGCCACAAAACAGAGTTACTTTGATACATTGGCTATATTTATTCTTCAATGACACAGTGGAAATTCATTGCATTTCATGTATTTTAAATATTTCGCATAGCCACTAACTTTTATAGACAAAGTGTTTTATGAATGTGATTTTGTGCGCAATGTTCATAAAATAGTATAGTTTAACACAGAAAACTAACTACAATATTTTGTAAATTCGTATAAGCTCAATCGATAGAGGAATAGTGTATATGACCACAAGTAACAAATGGGAATTATTATTAGTGGGGAAGATATAGTGACTTCAAAAAATATGACAAAAGTGACTTAGTGGGTACGTTCAACTCTCTGATTATATCTTTTGTGCTATATAAGACAATTAAATTGACAATAGATAAAGTGAATGAAATATTGGCTACTAATCAACAGGTATTTTGTGGGTCTAGGTCACAGCTTTTCAAATGAAGTTTGAAAACACAATTTATGAACATTAAATATAATTCTTACCAATTACGGATGCCATTATTCCCAATGCTAAATCATTAACGTTTGGTGCCTCTTGATTATTTTGCGACATACGAACAATGGCTTGTACAGATTCAGCTACAAGTTGTATAGATATACTACCCATAAATACAGAGAGTACAATCACTGCTAATGGTTCAAGTCGTGTTCTCCCTAAGAAGGAAATAAAATAACAGCATTTTAGAGACCTTATTTCGCTTTCACTTTCAGATGATTTTCAAAAACCCAACATCAGAATAGTGGGGAAGTGGGGAAGAAAACATTATATGATATAGTGACTTCAAAAAATAGTTAATTAATCTGTATAATAGTGATAATAATAATAATACATGATTGAGTAAAAAGAAGTACTGCTTTTGTTTATGTAGAAATCTGTCGTTGTACCGAGTATTTATTACTTCAAATGTTGTACTGAGATTTACTACACGTTACATTTTATTGCGATATCTCTCTGTGTTACTACTGGGAATTCTGGGATTATTTGCCATCAAATTACTTGTTGTGTGTCAACAGAAGCTCTCAGTGAAGACCCTCTATACTCTTGCAACATGGATGCTTCTGCCATTACAAATTAACAGGTAAATATGACAAAAGAGACTTAGTGGATACGTTTAGTCGCAGAAAAGTTATATGTTGACAAATGTTTAAAATGTGCAGAATTCTTCCAACACATCATTCACCAGTCCATATTTTGAGAGTCATTCATACTGTTAGTGGAATCAACTGCATGTCGTATTGAAAAGACCATTTAAAACAACTGTAACAACAGTTTAAAATAACCAGCTCACAGACCGTAGATCATTTTATGATGAGTTAAAATATTTTTAAACCAAATTACCTTCTGGGTATTTGTATGGCTTCCTTTTACGCATTTGACGAGCAGCAAACCACATGATTCCACCGGAAGCCAAATCGACACAACTATCTAACAAAGATGATATGATTGCTAATGACCCTGATAATGCAGATGCTACAGCTTTACCCAATAAAAGTACCTATATTGATGTAATTCCAAATGGGCAATATGATAATTAAAGGTTATCAAGTTATTTTCATACATACAATGTAAAATCGTTAGACAAATAATAACACTACTAGAAAATTATATTTTTCATTTAAAATTTCACTGAATAAAATATAAATTGATTTCATGGTGAAAGAAGTGTCACATTCATAAAACGTAAGGAGAATAAACTAGTGTAGGAATTATATCAAAATAAAACCAAACGTCTAGCGTAAAAAATTAGAAAAGAGGTTTTACTAGTTCGTTGTTTCGAAGAGGATGAACTCAAAGAAAATTGCTTGCTTAATCCAAGACACCAGTAAACTTAATCTCCCTATATTCACTGGAATGGTAACAAATTTACACGTCACTTCAGTAGCAAATGATTGTTTTAATCTTAGTCATCTAATAATTATATCAGCCTTATGCTATGGAAAAAACGATTTGATGTTTACGATCCGTAAACCACAAAACTTATATTACTAGAAATTAACATTTTGCGTTCGTTATGAATGACTGGTTATTTGAAATCACTAGTCGTCAATTAAACGGGTATTGCTTAAAGCGAAAGTAATAAAGCAGATGGAAAATCTGCAGATGGTGAACTAAGATCAATCGAAACACCAGATGACAGATTACTAGTTTGTAAACTTATTATATATTCTAAATAATTTTCCTATGTTACAATAGCTAGATGGAAACATGTAAACGCTGAGCATTAATAACTTATTAGAATTTACCAAGGATAGTTCATTCTGCATTAGAATGAAATTTCCTTCCTTTCCGTTTTAGTAATGTTCAGGAACTAATTATTAGTGATATTATACTTACCACGTTGGCACAAAATACAACACCAATAATCATTGTATTAATTCGCGTTTGCCGCCTAATAGAATGATGATTGGAGGTTACTTCTACATCGGAGGTTTCTGCCTCCATAATAGTTGCGATCTTTTCCAATTCACGAATATGTTCATCTTGTCGTCGATAAAACTCCCTAATTTTAGAGAAAATATAAAATAAGGATATCTAAGTGAATTTAACAGGGTTAAGTTAACTACATAGCAATCTCAGAACATCTAAATACCCCAACTCCGTATTTCCCTAATAGATGCTGTTGTCTGTTCGCGTCTTTTATTCGTTCCTATGAGACCTAACAGGTTGACATTTATGAGCTAAAATCAGCAAATTGACAAGATCTATATTAAAAACAAAATGAATTTAGCCTACGTATTGGATTTCATTGATATAATTAAGAAGGCCTGAAAACCCTATTCATGGTGTTGACAGAAAATAAAAGTAAATGTCTTGAGTGCTGTTAAAAATATATGGGCGATTATCACATCTCGGATGCCTACACTGTGGAAGGGTTCTTCTTGAGGTACCTGAGAAAGAAGTTGGATTAGAGGTGGTCTTAGTGATCTAAGAGCGTGACCACAGTGCCCAAGGGACAACTGCATGAGGGGTTGGTCACACACAACCTTCATGTGAGTAATTTTTGTGTTAGCTCCGCAATTGTTGAAGTCGTACCGCCAGAGACGGATATCCATCGGATAAGCCAAGGTATGCATTTTTAGCGTCAACCTATTCTAACCACACGCTGTCATGCTGGTTGGCTATAGAACTGTAATCCTTAGATGCAGCATTTACAAAACAATGCTAAGCGTGAAATAATTTACTTTAAGTAACTCACACAACATATTTACGTTTTCTATGGTTTATGTAAGTTAACACCTAAAGAAATGATATTTTTGTCTATTTATAACAAGAACTTGAGAATTCGCCTCTTTGATACTGAATGCTACCTAAATGTTGCTTTCACTTATTTGTTTCGCATTGTAGAAACATGTTATTCTACAACTGAAGTAGCAAGCGAATTCAATGAATATTCGACGACGGGAATGGGATCTATTCAATAATCTACCCAATGATAATAAAAACCGCTTACATTTTCTACCACTTTCTATGCATTGAAATCAAGAGTTTCTTATACTTGCATTTACGTTTCACCTACTCGCCATCATTAAAATAAAAAGGCATTTTACTGCGATCCGTGATACATTCTGCAGAAACAACGTGTTGTTAAGAAACAGCTTTTGCAGACAATAGCAAAACTTACATGACTGACTTTGAAGTCGTCTCAGTTTTCTTAATGTTAGAGCTTAATCTCTTCTGAAAAACCTCAATAGGATGCGTTTTCCATGTTTCACCTGTGACACAGTTATAAGAATGGGATAGCAACAACAGAAATAAGTCACAAATTATTCCAAGCGTTTACTTAGTTTCTAAAACGTAAGTGACAGCTTGATGTAAAAACTTGGAATTAATTATGACAGTACATTTTATAAATGGGTAAATCTTGCTGATAACTAAGTTGGGTAAGGTTGAACACGTATTCCTTAATATGAAATAATTTCCAACTGCCCTAAATAAAACCATAGTGAGTATCATGACCAAGGTTTGACTTGATAATTCCGAATAAATTGAGCATTGGGTAGATCGTTATAAATATAATAATATAGTTGTAACCTAAGAAGGGATTTTGTGGATATAATAGTAATTTGAATAGTTGAGAGCATGAGTCACTTGAAGCTAGACCACTATGAAAAACCCGGAAGCACTGGACGACCGTTTCGTCCTATTATGGGACTCCTCTGTGGTGGATGTATCGCCCAATTTCGTGAATTAGTTGGAGTTATACATTAACACCGTTGCATGCCAGCTCAGTGGTCTAGAGGTTGAGTGTTCGCGCGCGAGACCGATCGTACCTGTGTTCGAATCTTGCGAGGCGAGATTGTGGATGCGCACTGTTGAGAAGTGCCATAATTGGACGAAACGGCCGTCCAGTGCTCCCAGGTTTTCCATGGTGGTCCAGCTCCAGTTAAATCACGATCTCAACTATTAAAAAATTTGTGATATCCAAATGAGTAGATTTTCTGAAGTTTCGTATCTAAGTGTAAGCCATTTCTTCAAAGAGTAAGTATCAAATCAAAATTAATCCAAGTTTAAATGGTACGAAGGAACAATTATTTATACTTGGAATAATTTTGATTTGGCTATTTACTCTCCGAAGAAGTGGCCTACACTGAATCACGAAACGTCAGAAAATCTCATTTTTTCTACTTATTGGGATATTACAAATACATTATATATCATAGTAAATACCAGTTTTTAAAACTTAGTGAATTTTAAATTTTTATTTACCGACACTACACTCATTTGAAAGGAGGACCTGTAGACTGTAAGATAGTTGCTAACATAATTACCTTTAAAAATCAGTATCTATATTACCACCTGAATTTCAGACAAGTATTCAAAACGCCTAAAAATATTTATTTGTACTTAGATGAATAGTTAACACAGTTGGTGTGTGAATAAATGCTTAACGTTGTGTTAAACTGTTATAATAAAAAATTACGATCACATTTTGAACATTTTAGATTCAACTTCTTGATTGGGTCTTATCGAAGCTCGAGCCTATTTGGAATAAATAGCAATTCGTTAGCCTATTCATAACACATCTGGAGTAGCGGATAACCTGGATTCTAAAAATAATGAAAAGTTACCTATTGTAGCGTTACCTTTGGAATTGGAAGATTACCTGGACTGTTTCAAAGCATGGAATTTACCTTAATTCCAAGGAAGATAACACTTTAGCCAATTTATAAATTCCATTGATAGAGAAGCCTATGACCCATTAGAGAATACTGAATGAATACAAAGATAAATTCTTGCTTTATTCGACAAACTAAGACTACTGAAAAATTGTTTACAACTGACATGAAATCACACAGTTCAGCAAACTACCTCATGCTCTGAAATTGACAATAAGAGGTTTTATACCAAAGCTTCAAACACAGGCTTATTAGTACAGTCTCGGTAAATAACTCCGTACTCAACCCCGCAACTATCTGACTTCAAGTTTCAGGAGTCCTAAACTCAGGAAACAACTCATACAAAATCATAAGCGTACTTTTCGAATTGCCAAACATTTCCGTTCTGAGTGCGAATATGTCACTAAAGGTCTCAGCAACGGCTTTACGATACAAAATGGTCGCACACTTGATACAGAAGTTAACTAATAGCACGGTCAAGTTCCATTTACGAATTATTGATCATAGTAACATAGAGTCAAGCATTTTGGAGAGAAATCTTTTCAGAGAAAGTTTATCTTTTTAATATATAAACTGATTCTATTTTGTTTGGAATACATTATGAAGAATGAGTTACATAGACTGGTTAGAAAAGGGATAGCAATTTGTTTTGGCGAGATACGCCATATAGTTTAATAAAATCTTAGTGAAAGCTAATTAGCTAAACACAAAGGCTTTAATATGTTTTAAAATGAATTGATCAAGACCCGTATATCTAGTGAGAAAATAGGTAGCAAACTTCAGGTTTTGGGAACAACAGTTGATTACGGTAAGAGTACAAATTTGACAGTGTTTTGTTTAACAGCAAATTTAAGGAATCCCCGTATCTAATGAACCTTGAAGTACAAAACTATGGCTGATCCACTTCTAGCTAATCTTAGAGTTGATAATACAAGCCATTAACATTAGAAATGTAGTCTATTTACAATTAATCTTTCAGAATACTTTAACGTACTGAGTTCAGGCAATAAAACTATTCTTCAGGAAACGATTCAAAGTGCATCACCATTTTAACTTCAGGGTCTATTAAACTACTCAAGATTCCTAACATTTCAATGGCTCTGATGTTAGTAAAAGTAAACAAGGTGTACAACCATAGTTGCACAAATAGTGGAATAGGTTGACAAGTTGTAAAACAACTCAAAGTAAAATCGTCACCAGACTCAGACAAGCAAAGATACCATGTATTTCCTGTTCAAATAGAAAAAGACCAATTTTACGCCTGATACCAAAAGAAAATCGATTTTCCGTTGTTTAGTCTACTGAAAATTAGCAGTCTAGCTCTCTACTATGCTGATCGACTGGATCATGAAGACGTCTTACCCAAACAAATGGCATCAGTCTCATCAGTGAACGTTTCAATGCGAAGCTAGACCTTCAATGGAAAATAGGCTGCAAGAATAAACACAGGTCCACCGACCTACTATCCTGACTGAAGGTCCATCGTTGCTATAATGGCACATAGAGAGTTAATACGACCTGTCGTCACGTCGGATCTACATTCTCAGGACTTTGATCCAGAAGAGCAGGCCAATATCTGTCACAACGACTAGTCATCCGAGTTTTCATACATAAAGTCGGGAATCCCAAACCAACGACCAACTCAAATGTTTGGATAGTGGTTCATCTCAACTAATACCAAACAAAAATGGTTGGTTGTTGAAATGCTTAAAGATTATTAGTTTTTCAAGGCCTACCGAAGCAAATGACCAAAGCGTTATTTTATATTTCACAGATCCGAATGTGATGGGAAACATGAGTAACCATTTCTACATTACTCATCGACTTTGAGTATCCAAACTTGGATACTATTAGTAGTAAAGTGACGGTAATATTTACCATATACTGATGGAAAAATCATATTATTAGACTATTTATGGTCGCACAAGTGAAAACTAAGGACATTTAGTCACTCTTACCACACCACTATTCACCAAGCTGGTGAGTCAAACAGTACTGTTTGGTAACGTGCGTGTTGTTGGGATAATTTTTATATTCATAAAAACTTATCCTTATAGCAGTCAGAGGAATATCATGTAAACTACACAAAATAATGTCCAAGAACTTGCATGGTGAATTAAGAGGAATTGAATTGTTCTCCGATAAAGTGTTTCCTGACTCTATTTCCTCTAACTTTTTTGAAGCAATTGATATTGAAGTACAGAACAAGCGACACTTTAACTCAGTCTCCATTGCATTTTCTATTTGCTTTCCTAACATTGATAGATGAAATAAAGAGTGACAGAAACACCGATCAAGGCAATATCGTCTGCTAACTAACAACGAGCATAAACGTGCGCGAAATTCTAACGGGTGTGCATGCGAGTCAATATGTGGTTGAAGAGACTAAACACAAGCCGCATAATTTACAAAACATTCTATGCAATTATAAGTAGTCGAAATTAGAAAGTCATACCACTAGTCATCACAATAGGCGAGGAGTGATCTGAAGCGGTAAATAAATCCACAAAATAAATAGCTCTGTAAGTTTTCAACATTGGATGCTGACTACATTAGTCTCAATGGACTCACCTAGCTGAAGGCGCTCGGTCAAACATCCACACCTGATCAGGAGTGAGAACGCCGTGCTCAACATCCCCTGCAATCGCTAGCCCGATTAGATCAGCCGGTCCTCGATATATTGATAGCCTATCAAATATGCCTTCGAACCTCCTCACTTCTGACTTTTGATTTCACTTGATGGGTACGCTTCATATTAGGTGTTACTGGTTAAAGCGTTGTCGAACTCCAAATACCTTTGGCCTCTTCATACTCAATTGGAAATTTTGCCCAATATTAAAATTTCAACTGTCTAAAACGGAATACTGCCATGACAGTGTGGAAGTACACATTGACCTGTCCACCCGAGTGATTAAACACAGTTTCATTCGACTGTGTTCGTCATTTCCTACGTTTGGTGTTATAACGCCGGTTATGTACTACGTTGGAGTTTCGGCACCGATTATTATTCAATGGCGTCATCGGATTTCTCTTTCGCATCACGCCATCGGTGCCACCATGTGCAGAGGAACGTTTGTTAATTAAGTAAACTCGTTTGTAGTTGATATCACTTTTTTATTATACAACTCTGTTGTGAGTGCTATGTGTTACTGTTTTGTTTTATCCATAAACAATAGCTGCTGTTTATAGTGTTAGTATTCTTTTTGGTATATTGTTGGCAATTTTATGCATTGGTACACCTTGAGTGGGTTCTTCGACTATGATCCACCATACATCTGACGACTCTGATACTTCACTTTTCTTGTATTTATTTTCGTTCATTAATTATTAATAGCAGAGTGACTGAAGGAACAGTGGTAACGAGACGGGGTAATTATTTGTTCGGTTGCAGATATGTACGTGAAAATACCACAGGTATTCGGAGTTTGACATCAATTTATCCAGTAACACTCTTAATTGTGAATCGTACACACCAAGTGAAATCAAAAGTCAGAAGTGAGGAGGTTCGAAGGCATATTTGATAGGCTATCAATATATCGAGGACCGGCTGATCTAATCGGGCTAGCGATTGCAGGGGATGTTGAGCACGGCGTTCTCACTCCTGATCAGGTGTGGATGTTTGACCGAGCGCCTTCAGCTAGGTGAGTCCATTGAGACTAATGTAGTCAGCATCCAATGTTGAAAACTTACAGAGTTATTTATTTTGTGGATTTATTTACCGCTACAGATCACTATCCAACTATGGGGGAGTGATGACTCTTAGAGTTTGCCAGTCAGAAGTTTAAACCTAACAAGTTTGTCGTTCCTAAACACTCTTCTGATAGCTTGCCATTTTCCGCACAGTTTGGTTGTCTTTCCTTACTGTAGGAGGACATGTGGTACAATATAATAATAGAGAAACAGGTACAATGAAGATTTTGGTTCATCGTTACTTCGTCGTTCTTTTTCCGTCATTTCCAGCCGTCCTGGAAAAGAAATAAAGGATTTTTAAAAAATGGTCTTTCCTGTTTTTTTTTAATAACAACTTAATATACACATATTAGTGAGCATATTTTCCAAAATACAACATTTTTAAATAGATATATAAATAGGAGCATATTAAAATCGTTTTTAATGTTGTATATGATACGAAGAAAAGTCGAGATGAAACAAAATGTTAACTACGGTCTTACGTGCGATAATCGTTTCAATGTTCTGAAAACCTCACTGTTCTTCCAGAGCGCGTTGTCTTGAGTTTAGTTTCAGATACTGCCAAATTACCATCGTGCTTGTTGGCTGTCGGACGAGGTATTATGAGTGTAGAAGTCGTGTCTTTCGGTTGTACCTAGAGAAAATCTACATGGATAGGGTTCCCTTCTGGATACGCTGCTTTGATGCGCTCGATGTTAATCTTATCGTCAGTTCCGTTCTTAGGTTTGCGCTGAAGAACTTTGAATGGTCCTTCGTATGTTGTTTCGAGAGGTCGTCGATGTGAGTCTCGTCGTACGAAGACGTGTGTACCATATAGTAAGTCAGGTTGAACGAAAACACCAGTTGATTGCGGTCGGATGGAAACAAGTTTAATTGAACGCATTTCGTTTGTAAGCCTGCTCGAGTAACAGGTTGGATCTATATTCACTGAAAATGAGGGATCCTCGAATTTTCATGGAATTTGAGGTGTTATTTCATAAATGAGTTGAGCTGCAGTGTATCCAATATCAGCCTTCATTGCATTGCGAATGCTAAGTATGACGAGCGGAAGAGGGTTGGTCCACTGTGAAACGTTTGCGGCTGATAGTGAAGCGTTCTATCGACGCATTTGCTTGTGGATGGTAATCGGCCGTTCGGAAGCGAGTGATTCCTAATAGTGTGGTCAGACAATGGAAAATTCCAGATTCGAACTGGTTTCTACGATCTGTAGTGATGGTTGAAGGGCAGCCGAAGTTTGCTACCCATCGTTTGACGAAGGTGCGGGCCACTGTTTCAGCAGTAATGTCCTTGATAGGTACTGCTTCTGGCCATCGAGTGAAACGGTCTACGCAGGTTGAGAGATAAGAGTACACATTTGAATCTGGTAAACGTCCTACCAAATACAGATGAACGTGGTCGAACCGAGCGTCTAGAGTTCTGAAGGAGCCTAAGGGGCATTTGTTGTGTTTAATCACCTTAGATTTCTGGCAGCTTATACAGGAGTGTGCTCATTCCCCTACGTCTTTGCTCATACCACGCCAGCGAAATCGTTCTGCTGTGAGCTTGATGGTTGCACGAACACCTGGATGATAAGGTTTGTGCAACGTATTGAAGACATTGCGTCGATAATGTTTCGGCACTATTGGACGACCCCTACCTGTAGATGTGCATGACCTTTCCTTGAATATTGCTCTTTTATCTTCTCTAATATGAGTACCACAGAAAAGAGTATATGATCATAGACGCTTCACATGCCAGCTGCTAGGAAGTAACTCCAATATCGATTACACAGATCGATGTAAGAACCTCCCTTCAGAACTATTATGGCACCGTACGCCTGCTCAACTATGATCCATGACTCAGCCTATAGACTAATAAACGATACATGTACACTACTTACCATGAAACACCAAAAACAAATGCGTTGCAGGCTTTTTACAGTGCGGCATAGATTATTGTGGAACAGGTTGCCAATACCTACCCGTAACTGTGACACTTTTACTAAGTTCAAGAGTCTAATAATCCTGTTTCTTGACTCCAAAGAGCTTCAACTACTCTTTGAACTATTGTCCACCAATGAGGCACAGTACTATGGACTACATAATATCTGGATGGAACAAGAATATAATGAGCCCATTGTTATTAATATGAATATAACTAGATTACAGAACATATGGTTTAACCCCCCCCCCTATTATTTACTGATTACTAATCATGGCCTTATGCCCCTGACCCTCACTTTCAGTTCCCGAATCCTTCTAATGCTTAAAGAAACATTATTCTTCCTAAGTGTCATGTCCTTTTATTTTTATTGCAAGTAGACAGATAACTCACCAATCTTATGGATGCTAATCAACTGAGGCCGATCATAAGAAGCTCAAAATGTCCTAAAGTCTTGTGAGTTGCTCAGTGTTCGATTTTTCTTACATTAAAAATTCGAGAATTTTATACTTTTTCATATCCTTTGATTTGCCATTAGTCCTTACCATCTCTTAACAACATATAATCTAACCTGTTTTTTTAACTTTCAATATTAGTTATCTTCATAGCAAACACAGAAACTTAAAGGAAGGGGATGTAGTTCTAATGGCTAACGATGCAACTACTCGGGGCTCATGACCAATAGGACGAGTCGATAAGTGCGAGACAGATAGAGATGGGTTGGTAAGAACAGTGATGGTGCGTTTGGGAGAAGGGGTAGTAAGAAGAGATGTGCGAAAGCTCTGTCTTCTAGAGGGAGCCGAGTAATTGTAGGTTAGGTTTATGGAAGTACAGGCGTACTGTTGTAAATCCTGTGCTTCCCATTGAGATAGAGCGGTTAGTAGAGAGAGCCATGACAGAAATGTATTCTAAGGTGTCTTTGCGTAGCTGGAGAGATTTTGGGGGCCGGTGTAACGGAAAGAAAACGATGAAAATCCCTCTGCAGCTTCTTTGTTGAATAGTATTGTCATTTACTTGTTTCTTCTTCCTGTTGTGTATTTTAACCTTTGTTCCGATCTCGTTTAACCATATCTTTTGTTTTACAGTCTTCTTCGTTTGGGCCTTTATTATGGGATTTTGATTAAAGACATATCTTTTGTTAGCTAATTTTCTATTGCATGTTGTCGGACCACTGACAGTAAGGTCGTGTTTGACTAAGCTCAAGGTCACGGCATGGTTCAGTGTGTGATTGTGAACCTTCTGACTGTTTGCTTGGGATGATCGCTTGTATCCCTGGAGATAGATATTTGATCCCATCTTGTTGGGAATATTTGTATTGATTCCCAGGTATCAAACCCTTTAGCATTAACTGTTTCTTTCATCGTTTAGCGCACTACTTTGCGTTAGAGAAACTTCTGACTGTATAGCACAGGCTGTACCGTTTGAGTTGTTTTGTATTTTTGATGTAATTTGTTCTGTTTTCTTAATTAAAACCGTTTATATTGAGCACAGAGTTTGTGTTTTTATATAATATAATACGA